TTTTTTTTTTTTCGTGTCCGGCAATGGATCGCAACCCTCAGTGTCGCGCCCGTACTGGACCGGGACCGGCAACGGGATCGCAACCCTCGGTGTTGCGCCCTCACCTCGCTCAGCCAGTTAGCGGGAACCGGTCTGTATGTGGGATCCGAACCCTCGGCGGGAGCGCCGCTGCGCTCACAAGCGGCGCACTGTAGCAGTGCACCAGTGGGCCGGCCCTAGGTCTGGGACTTTGGGGAGGTGGGCTTCCCATTTGTAAAATGGAATAAAACAAGCTCACAGCATCTAAGATTCCCAAGTTCCTTTAAATCTTCTAAGAAGCACAGGAAATGCAGGGCTGACAGGAGCACTCTCATTTTACAGATAAACACCTGAGGACAGCTGGGGGGTTGGAAAGGCAGGCACTGGAGTATCAGGTACTGAGCAGGTGAAAGCCCAAGTGGCCTGGCAAGGGAAGGGAAGGCAAGAGCAAAGCCACTGTTGTCTCTCTGGCTCTTTCTTCACTTGCCACCTTAGCCCAGGGCCTGAGTCTAGAGAAATAAATGGATTAGATGACACCTATGGGCCCCAGATTGGATGCTGGAGGTGGAAGTGGGTCACACCCCCTTTTTCCCCTGCCCACCAGGAGCCAAAAGGACCCTAGGACCAAGACCTCTGGTTATAGCTATAAAAGAGGGAGGAGACACCAAGGTTGAACTTGCTTTATGGGTGATGTGTTGGCTGGGCTGGGGGGCAGGACAGTGATTCAGGCTGAACTTTTCAAGGGACTGTCAAATAGGGTCAACTCCACCAGCACTGAGAGACAATGGGGAGATGAGGTAGGGAGGGGGATGAGAATGTGAGGAGAGGGAAGGGAGGTGGTGGGAAAAGGAGTTGAAGGAAGAGGTGGAGGAAAAGTGAAGGGAAGGAGGGGAGAAGGAAAAGAGAAGCAGGGCCTGGCTAAAGCTGAAGCCAAAGCCAGAGGTGGTCAGGTCAGCAGCAGGAGAAGCTCAAAAGGGAGCCACCCGAGAAGTGCAGGCAGTTGTGAGGGCCCGTTTTAGCTGCTCATAGGTGACGAACATCACCACATTCCAGGAACCCAAGCGGAGAAACGAGGGCATGAACCTAGGGGAGAGAAGACACAGGTCACAAGGGGCACCTCCACCTCTAGCTTCCCCCACTGGGCTTTGGCATCCAATCCAACCCAGTTGCTCTATCCCAGAGGAGGCTGGGAGGACCCAGTGAATTGAGCCTCATAGCTGTGTGGCTATGAGCAAGAATCCCCTCTGACTCTCCATTTTAACACCTATAAAATAGGGATGACAGCAACTCTGGGAATTAAGAGGATGAGTGAATGCTGGTGAAATACCAGGACCAGGATCAGAAATAGTTTGATACTTGGATGCATTCATTTCCAGGTGGTTCTCTCCTACCTTTGTGATAGGTACGGGTAGCCAGGAGACCTGGAATTAGGTGGGGTGGATCAGAGGCTCACCCTTTGTAGAAGGCTCGGGGCCCTTCCTTCTGGAGCATGGTAAGGGCACAGTGGCCAGCACTGCTATACTGGCCCGGGGCAGAGTTCATATATCTCGTCTTGACCACATCGACAGGGGAGGCGATGATGGTGGTGCAGAAGCCTGCCCCGAAGGCAGAAGTGAAATGGCAAGGGAGGTCATCTGCCGAGAAGGAGCAGGCAAGGTAGTCACGACTCAGCCATCATTTCAGAAGAGAAGAGAATTACTTAAGTAGCTAGGGGGTCTCGTGGTTTTAAAGAGAAAGAGACTCCAGCTGGGACCTTTTCTGAGGACTAAAAGAGTTATTTTGCCAAGCA